TCCCTTACACAGCCAAGGGTCCATCCAGCTGCCCACGGGAGATGGGATGTCTGGCCTGGCAGGTATTTACTGTGTGCATACTGAATGCTTGAAGGAGTGCAAATATCCATTCCCAGTTTTCACTTGTAATCCCCAACAGCCAAAAGGCATGTTTTTACTGTACATACCAACTATATATTTTTAATTAAAAAAAAAGAAGAAAGTAATGCTCACAAAAAAATCCACTCTGCACACCCCCCACCCAAAAAAAAAAACCCAACAAACCCAACAAACCATAAAAGCATAGCATTAAGATAAATTTGTGTTTTTTCAATGCCATCATCTCGCAGGTAAGGTAGGTTATCCCTAAACTGGCAAATTCTTGCAAGCTTGCTGTAATGTTGCCTTATTTCACATGCCCAAGCACATGTAGTATAACTCCTACCAAGCACAGACGATCCCACTGTTACCAGGTGAACAAGAAATGATCCAGCAGCTCTGCTGGCACCACCCTGGGCATGCTCTTAGTTACCTGAGTGGCAGAACACTCTCTCAGCTCTCGGTGAAGGCGGTTCAGGCTGATAGCAGGTGAGGAGCAGCTGCATGGATCCCTGCAAGCCGTGGGGGTACCACCATCATCCTCCTGTGTGCCCACGTCCTACACCTGCAGCATCGGTTTTCAGGGCAGGGACAGAGGTTGAGCCCCTCCGTCTCTACCTTCTGTGCTGCTACAACCTTGTAGTTGTTTACCTGCAGAGGGTAAGAGAAGTTTGCCAGTTAAACCAGTACCAGGCAGTGTCCAGTAAGGACTGAATATCTGCCCAAATCCTGGATTTAGGCCAACGAGCTGCAGGAGGAGAAGGGACAAGAGAAGGACTCAGCCACCATCAATGTCTCTGGTACCAGGTCCAGCACCTGGGAAAGGTTACGGATGACATTCCGATGGCAAACACAAAGCTGGCCATGACGGAGCGATGTGGACAGCCAACGGCATCACCACCTTACTTAAACACTGTGGTTGCCTTCCCTGTGAAAGGCTGGCTTGTCACTCAACTCCAAAAAGGGAAGGAGTGCACGACCAGGGCATCCAGGTTTCTAATCAAACTGGAAAGTTGGGAAGCACAATGCCAAATTTAGCCGTGCTGTCTTCCAACACCTCATTAACCACGGGGCATTCCTCTCGTTAGACGTCTGCCACTCAGAAATTACCACCCCAGGTACACACTTGACACCCAACTGGGGAAAACTGTCAACACTTTGTCTGAAAAATAATCCCCAAGGAAGCCACGGTAATTGCTCCAGACAGAGGAACACGCCAGGGTGGCATTAGCCAGAGAAACCGCGCTCGCTCCGGAGAGCTTTATCCTTAGGGTGAGAGGTGAGGGGGGTGAAAAAAGACTTGTGAGATTTAATAAAATTGTTACACTTGAAGATCTTTCCCAGTAAGTGCAGTGAGCGCAAACGTGCAGCGAGAGGGTTTCTGGAGCATGTTGGAAGTCAGGAAAAGCAAGAGCTGCTGCACGAGAGGGTGAGCTGGGCAGGCACGGCTGGGCAGGAAGGGACGGCAGTGCTCAGATGCTCAGTTACATTTATTGCATTCAAATTCATCAGCAGCCAAGGGCACCCCATGGGCTAGAGTTCAGCCTTCTTCAGCTACAGCCCAGCGCTGTCTCCTGGCAGATTTTGCCAGGATCTTGCAAGCTTCCACACCCTAAAGAAATGGAAGGAGGAGGTGGTGCAGAGAGGGTGAGGTCCTGTGTGGTCCCACAGCCCCTTCTCCCAGTGCTGAGGTCCATGGCATCCGCACACACAGCTTCACCAGGGCTCGCCAAAGCCGTATTTCTGCCTCCAAGCCTGTCAAACCTCTGGGGCTGAGGGCATCTTTTTTTTTCCACCACCACCCAGTCCAGAAGTGCTCAGACACAGGAAGGGCAACAGAGGGCCATGGATCCCAGCTGCGCTGTGCACAGCATTTGTCAGATAGATCTAAAACTCTGCAGAGAGCTTAACAGACTTCAGCCTCAACAACCCGCCGGCAGCCGGGCAGAGCCCCGGGCTGCAGAGCCCCTGAATCTCGTCCACTCCCTCCCCTGTCTGGTCAGGAGTCCTCTGCCGAGACCTAAAGCCTGACTGCTGATTCCTGTTAACTGCTTATCCTGCACCAGGATAAAGGGCATGAAAAGTCACCCAAACTATTGCACTAGGAGAGCTGGAGCTGTTTTTTAAAAATATCCCACTTTATACTGAAGAAACAACTCTCTGACATGCTGCCATTCATTAGGGAAGAACATACGTCAGGGTCGAATGGCTCCATATGCTCTCCGTGTGTGACATGAAGGTAAAGCTGGGTCGGGCTGGGCAGCACGGCTGCGAGGCATGCTAGAGGGTGGTGACACCTCTGCTTCACAGGACAGACGGACCGTGGTCCTTCAGTCCATCACCAGCTCCCTTTAAATGCAACGCAGACATCCCACCCGCTGCTCCCGGTGTCTTTGGGGACACAACTCCCATGGGTGCCAGACCTTTCTGAGAGCTGAAGCGCTGTCTTCATGGCACCCACGGAGCTCGGTACAGCCCGGGGCTGCTGCATCCTGGGACCAAGGGTCCACAGAAGCCCCCAGCCTGCCGCACAAAAA